TTTACGTATACAAAGTTGCTTTAATTACAAGAGGGGATGGAAACTTTAGGAAGTTAACCAAGAAGATGGGCCAGGACCAACAAAAGTCCATTGAAAAAGAAGTAATTGGAATTTGAGAAGCCTTGACAGGTTGCACACCTCTAACAAAGAACATTGTTATTCTTTGTACTTCATTGCTCTTCTCTACATAATATTCACTAAAATGATATTGAAGATTACATTAGTTGGAGTTAAGTCAGAGAAGCAGAATCCTTGAATGATATGGGGTAATGGATTTATTGCTGGGATTAGACCTTGTACAGTTGTGGGAGAAACTGGGAAAGCAACATTCCACAAGGGGATGATTGACTGAATAGAAAAGCTTCTAACCGGGGCCCATGGAATGGAGCTAGTGAAGATGTCTATGCAAGTCCCTTGCCTCTCCATCCGAACAGGGCCAGAAGTATGTCAGCAGGGCAGATGATAAAGAGGAAGTTGTCAGTAGGAAAGCTGCATGCAAAGCAGGAGAGAACAAAGACAAATGAAAGTCACAAGGGAAAACTGAAATCCACAGAGATGCACAAGCCCGTGTATCTGTCTCTCACTGATTGGAACCTCAAAGCTGCGATGTCCTGCCGAAGGAGCCAGTGCTCTCGCTGCAGAACTTCATGTGTGCCCAGCCCGGCTCCAAGAACATATGGCAGAAGAACCATCAAGAACTGGAGAAGCTGTGGGGCCAGCTGCTACTCCACACCCATGTGATGAGCAACGGCGTGCGTGACCTGCCCAAGCCCTGCACCACCTTCACACACAGTCTCTGACTGTGCTTCTGCCCTGTGAATCTCAAGGACATTTCTCTGTGGCCAGCCCTAATCCAGAACCATTCAGAGAAATATAACTTAAGCTTAACTAACTTTTGACATAGACTGTAACAGAGGCATAGAAAGAAAAAAAAAAAAAAAAACCTATGGAGATGAGATAATTCCATCTTTTCTTTAGAAAGATGTAAAAACTAGGGTGAGGAGAGATAATGGCTTGTCTGATGTAACAGAGCTAGTGACAGGCCTAGAAACTCAATTCTGTGTGTGTCTCTCTAGGTGATATCACAGAAGAAACAAACAAACAAACTCTGGATGTGAGATTCGTTCACTATCTTCCTATAGTCCAAGCCACTCAGGAGGTTTGCTTAAGCCTAGAAATTTGAGTCCATCCCGGCAACATAGCAAGACTCCATCTCTAATGTATTTAAAAATTTAAAAATAAATCCTAAAAACGAAGACACCTGAGTTTTTGCCTTAATTGATTGCTTGGGCCTTGGGGGAAAAAAATCACTCGATTTCTGGACTCATGTTTTCTATAAGTGAATGGCATATAGGCTAGGCACAACAAATTGGAAGTGATCACTTAATATCTGATGAATAAATGAACGAACACAATCTCTCAAGAACCACTATTTCACACAATTATTTTACTGCCTAACATTTAAAAAAATGAAACCATGAGGCCAGGCACGGTGGCTCACGCCTGTAATTCCCAGCACTTTGGGAGGCCAAGGTGGGCGGATCACGAGGTCAGGAGATCGAGACCATCCTGGCTAACACAGTGAAATCCATCTCTACTAAAAATCAAAAACATTAGCCGAGTGTGGTGGTGGGTACCTGTAGTCCCAGCTACTCAGGAGGCTGAAGCAGGAGAATGGCGTGAACCCAGGAGGCGGAGGTTGCAATGAGCCAAGATCCTGCCAATGCACTTCAGCCTGAGTGACATAGAGAGACTCCATCTCAAAAAAAAAAAATTAAAAAAAAAAAAAATGAAATCATGCTCCTGGACCTCAATAGCAAGGCATTCTTGTAGGTTCTCATGAAATTTATCTGGGGTTAGTATGGGGCATCTGGGCCCTTTTTCCTTTGCGCAAGTCAGATTTACAATCTCTCAGCCATGTAACAATTAGACTTTCTTCTCATCCCACTGTGACTCCTTTTTTATGTATTCAGTCTGGGCTTTTCAGTAGGAGTCAAGTACTACATAGCTGGAAAAACAAGAGACTCTGGAAAAGCAGTTACAGGGAGAAGCTAAAAGAATATCAGATTTCTAGTTATGTATTTTGATGGTTAGCTCATGAATTTGAAATCAGCATTTAGCAGGAATGACCTATCTCTGCTGATGTGACATTAGCCAGGATGGCTCAAAGGCCTGGAGTTGAAATAATCTAAAGTCTACCTACTTTCAGTGAGGATAGTTGGATCCATATAGTGTCTCTGCTTCCTCATGGCATGGTTGTTGGGTACAAGAGCGAGCCTCCCAACAAGACCAGGCACAAACTGTATCACCTTTTATCACATGGATTGCAAAGTTATATAGCATCATTTCTACCATAGTCATAGGCCTCTCAGATTCAAGAGGTAGAACAGTTGACCCTTGAACAATGTGAGGGTAAGTGGTGACTATCCCCAAGGCAGTCAAAAATCCATGTATAACTTTTGACTCCCCAGGTACCTAACTGCTAATAGCCTACTATTGACTAGAAGCCTTACAGATAACATAGAAGATTGATTAACACATATTTTGTATGTTGCATGTATTATATGCTGTATTCTTACAATAAAGTAAGCTAGAGAAAGAAAATGTTACTAAGAAAACCATAAGGAAGAGAAAATATATTTACTGTTCATGAGATGGAAGTGAATCATCATAAAGGTCTTCATCTTTATTGTCTTGACATTGAGTGGGCTGAGGAGGAGGAGGAAGGGGGGTAGGTATATTTTCTCAGGGGTGGTAGAGGTGGAGGAAGTGGAAGAGGAAGCAGAAGAGGCAGACATGCTCTGCTTAACTTTTACTGAAAAAAATCCACATATAAGTAGACGTGTGCAGCTCAAAGCTGTGTTGCTCAAGGAATAACTGTGGATCCCATTTCCCAATGAAGGGAGTATCATTATTACACTGTAAGAAGAACTGTGGGGTGGAAAGCACATTGCATGCCATCTTGGAAGACACAGTCTGCCACAAGCACTGATAGTATGCATGATGTGTTCATAAACACAGAGCTTGTCAACTAAATGAGCTCTTGTTCAACAATAACCCCAGAGAATATGTTTGTGCACACTTATATAAATACATACACATATACATACATAATAAATACTTAGTGAATAAGGCTAATTCTCAGATTCACCTTGCTTCCAAGACATTTTCCGTGCTATGCCTAAGGGTAAGGGCAGGGAATTGGGCCACACAATTAATTTAAACTAAAAGTGTTTCACTGTCACCATCAACCCGCCCCCCCCTTTTTTTTTCTGGGAAAATAAATTAGGCTGCTGAGTTTTGGACCTAAATCATTTCCATGGTAACAGAGCCTAATATGCTAAAAGGCAGATTATAGTTCCCTCTAATATTTGAAATATCTCTATATGGTCTGCATGGCCGAGGCAGGCAGATCACGAGGTCAGGAGATCGAGACCATCCTGGCTAACATGGTGAAACTGTCTCTACTAAAAATACAAAAAATTAGCTGAGCGTGGTGGCACGCACCTGTAGTCCCAGCTACTTTGGAGACTGAGGCAAGAGAATCACCTGAACCCGGGAGGCGGAAGTGGCAGTGAGCTGAGATCGCGCCACTGCACTCCAACCTGGGTGACAGAGCAAGACTCCATCTCAAACAAACAAACAAAAGTACACGTAGCAGAGAATAACATTGTCATTTACCCACACACACACACACACTCATACACACTCACACACATATATTTATACGCACTCACGCAAGAAACATGAGTGTTAAACAAATTTCATAATTTATATTAAATGATTTAAAGTATGGGGGAAATGTGTAGGAATGACACCGTTCAGCCTGGTCTTCTCGGATCTGCATTAAGTCAAATTTTCGTGTTTTGATTTTTGATCGATTGGTTGACTTTAGAAATATTCTGATCATGTAAAGCCTGGGGGAAAAAAGTCAATAATCGCAGATACAGAAGTGAGAATAATTACGATCTCCTTTTCTACTGGGAACTGTCTTACTAGTGAGATCTGTATCACATAGGCTAAGGTTAGGTGGGTGACTTCCACTGGGGTTCTTTCTTGTCCTGCCACGTGCACACCCACTTCCATTTCCTACTGCCATGAGAAACACCTCATTTGATGTTCTATGCAACTTGCCAGTGAGTGATTTTCAATTTTTTTAATGTTGTTAAAACAAAATAACTAAAGGGGTATTTATTTCTAGGACATAAAATTAAGTCACTGATGTAATCAGATATATGTGAGCTATTATGTATATTGCATGTCTCTTCTCCGTTTACTATATTGCTCTCTGAATGTTTCCAAGAAACTCTTTACACACAGAAGTTCTCTCAAAACAAAAAAGGGACTATGCACACATTTTACTTTTGAGGTGGCATTTACTTATTCAATAATAGCTACACAATTAAATGTTATGTTGACCTTGTGTCACTGTCAACTAGTTACTTTTTATTTCTGTTGCATTTCCAAGTGTGTTAAACTAAAAGCAAGTGGCTTCATGCCAATTAAACTGCATGGAAGCTTTTTAGGCCTTGTTCAAATACTAACAGGTTTAATAAATATATTTGTCTAGGAAGAGTAGGACAAAGAGCTCTTTGTTTACTGACATACTTTATTGTCATTCTGCTGTATACTTCTCGTGTGGCTGTTTTATAGGACATAAAGTCTAGGTATCCTGTCGGAATCTCAGATCTTATTTATAGCTTGCTGCAAAGTGGCTTATTGTCATTTATTATTTCTTATTTGATTTATATAGCATCTTTCCACCAAAGAGCCCATAGGTTTATTTATATACAGAGTACACACACACACACACACACACACACACAGAGTCACATCCTTATACACATCCTTGAACTTCACTCAATGCTATGATGTAGATAACAGTATAGAACCAAAAATCTGTATGAGGCCTTTCCATTTGTTTTTGTTCTAAGACTACGTTCTGGGAGGACAGTTGCCATTTTTTATTTTCACTTTGAGTGTTTATCTTTTGCCTCTAGGTGGATCGGATCATTTTCTGTGTCTTCTTAGAAGTTGACTTCAAAATCTACAAAAAGAAAATGAGTGAGTTTTTCTCTGTAGGTGAGTAAAGCTACTTCTTGTTTCCTTTCAAATTGAGGATTGAAGAAGTGAACCATCACTTCTATTCCTATTGTTTTTCATCTTCAGGACTATTACACACTGTCACCCCTGCCAACCTGTATCATGGTTTCTAAGAACTGAACAAGGTGACAGAAAATCTAGGCTGTGGAACTCTTACCCCCAGAGGTTACTGTGTTGTCTTGGGGAAGTCAGTTCATCTCTTGGGTCTCGGTGCTTCACATCAAAACTGAGGGGCTAATTATTAATAAATGATTTCTAAAGATGCTTCCCCTGGCCCTAAATTGCATGATCTGTGATTCCTTCTCCAACTTGTAAGTTTGCCAGGCCCCATGCCTGCATCTACCCCGTTAAATACCATTGTTGGAAATTGTAAGCCCATTTATATTCATAGTCAGAATTCAAACTGTTCCTGCATTCCATCCCTATTCCTTCCCCAGTTTCTCACTCCATATTTCAATGCCTATAGCAGCACTTCTAGGGCAGTCTGAGAATAGCAGTCATTCACACTTCTTTTTAGAAAATAGGATAAACCTCAGGGTTATTAGAGAACCTTGAGTAATGTATTTACATCGATTGAATGTACCATTAGTTGGATTTGGGTAGTTTGAATATTTTCCTCCACTCTTCCTCTTCTAGCCTATTAAGGCTGAGGCTTGTTTAATGCCTTGTTATTTTTATGGTGCCATTAAAGTCGCAGTGTCCAAAGTGCTTTCCTTAGCCATGGCAAGAATTGCTTCCAGGAAATTTCAAGCTACAGTGAGCATTGTTGGTACTTGCCTTTCAGTGAGCTTTCTTTTGAGGTTTCCATCTCCATCTGAAGTAGTTTGTCATATCACAGGTGACTCTGGCAGGTGGAAAGGAGTGAATAAAGAGTGCTGATGCACATTCATCCTCTTAAGCCGTCTATCAGAGCCAAACAATAAACAGGGTGCCTTGCCTGTAGATCAGAGTAGGATACGTTCTATCCAGAACAGCTGTAGAAAACCAAAAAACCAATAGAGATGGTCAGCTCTCTGCTAATGCCCTAAGTGGACTAAGTTCTTCTAAGTAATTTGCAGTTCTTCTCCCTAATTTTATAATTGAAAGGTGAATCTGCTAAGTGCATTTAATTTAAGGCTTTTACTAAAGTATTTCTCGAACTGAAACATAATGTAAATTCCTCAGATTCCCATGTGATAAAGAACTGGACTGTGGTTATAATCTTTTTCTCCTCCTCTTCTTTCTCTTCCTCCTCCTCCCCCTTCTCCTTCTTTCTCGTTTCTTCATTTTTTTGAAGCATCTCAGTGTTCTTCAGAGTGGACGCACTTAACAGCTATTTGATAAGTAGTTGTTGAGACGAGTTGAATTAAATAAATTTTTCTTGCTGTAATCTGATGACTTTTTTTGTTTCAATATCCTTGTTCCATTTTTCCTTTTGATTTGCTTTATAACAATATTGAGCTGATTGGTGCCTGTATTTTTAAGTATTATTAAAAGTAAATGTTAATTATATTTTTAAATGTGACTTCCTATGATGTATGAAGCAAATATTCTCATGTCTTGTCAGTATTACGTCATAATTGATAAGATTTTATAAATTTTAGACTCCTTGAGATATTCAGAAATAATGACATCATATTCATTCTCATATCTTCTAAAAAATGTCTGCAGGAAGCCATACTAACATAAGATAAAAAATATTTGCATAATTATGATCTATTGATATTGAAACAAATGTTTCTATCAGCAGGTATTTCCAATGATGCAGAGTCAAAAAGCACACTGCAAAATTAAAAGAAAATGAGACAGTTTTAGGAGTGTAATATATTAATAATTATGCAAACAAATTATTGTTTGAAAAATTGCTACTTTAAATAAACTTTAAAATGCATTGCAGTACATGAGCAAGTGAAATAATAAAATCATCCTCAATCTCACATCAATGCTTTGAAACACACAGTGCTCAGGAAATTATTGTCAGTCCATATTTACAATAGTAAGTACATTTTAAACTAAATGTAAAAATCCTCAAAAATTGTGGAGTATTTCTCCAGTGTTGAAGCATTAGGTATTTGAAAATTCTAAATATGCAACATGAAATAAGGGTGATGTATAATGGAATGTGACTACTAATATAGATAATATACTTTACCTGTCATTAATTTGAACCTGTGTTTAGTTCATAACTATACAATCTTTAAATATAATAATGGTTAATAATAATCATAATTAATATATTAAACAATAACGTAATAATAATGGTTACTAATAATGCAAACATTTTTTAATTACTTTCGATTAGCCAGCCACAGTGTTCCTTTCTTTACATGGGTAAATCATTAATCTTCATGATCACTCTAAGAAAGGAGGCACTGTATTAACCCTGTGCTGTGGTTCCATTGTTAGGGTTTTTTCTAATTTGGTCTTACGGTTTCTCTCTCTTGAGAATGGTCGTAAGCCAGGATAGCCACTCTCCAGGAAAGCTTTGAAAAGGGTTGGGGGAAAAGTTAGGATATGTGTGTCAGGGGAGACACAGTGAGGAAGTAGAACTAAAATGCTCAAAACAGAAAGCATCTATTACTCACAGGTAGACAGGTGAGGGATGCCCACAGGAGACCCACAGGAGGCCTGGAGGTGGCAGGGAGCCCAGCCAGCAAGGGGGGAGCAAGAGAGAGCGAGCACCTGGGGACTGTCTTTATTAGGTCCGGATGCACCACCCCTTAGGCTTTCCCATGGGGGTTGTGGATTGGCTAGTTTAAATAAAACACTCAGGAAGCAGGAATTTACTTTGATGATTCTGACACTATTAGATTTTTACCATGATCAGCAGTTGTGGAGTGTATTGGGTTTGGAGTCAGCTGGATGAGGAACAAGTGGAACATATCGCAAACAATCACACAGGGAGGGAAGTTTTAGTAGGCCAAAGGTGACAGGATACAACTGGCTTTCAAACAACTTATGTTAGGCCTAAGAATGGATGCTGGCCAGGCGCACAGTGACTCATACCTGTAGAAGGAGGATTGCTTGAATCCAGGAATTTGAGGCTAGCCTGGGCAACATAGCAAGAACTTGTCTCTACAAAAAAAATGAAAATACAAATTAGCTGGGAGTGGTGGTACATGCCTGTAGTCCCAGCTACTCAGGAGGCTGAGGTGGGAGAATCACTTGAGCTCAGGGGTTTGAGGCACAGTTGGCTATGACTGCACTGCTGAACTCCAGCCTGAGTGACAAAGCAAGACCCCATCTATAAAAAATATAAATAAATAAATAAATAAATAGGTAAATAAATATTGTAGAGATTTTAAAACCAAAAGGAAAAAAAGAAAAAAAAAAAAGGATGCCAAGGCAGCAACCATATTAAACAAATTTATGATACCCTATGTTTTAGGCATGAAAAACGAGGATTCAGCTAGGAAGCAACAGAGCTGTATTTTAAAACTGAGAATGGCATCTGTCATTGCCAAAGTGATAATAGGTTCGTTTTCTCAGAGCATCTTTAGAGAGGGCTGAGATCAACTTCCAGGCTGTATGTGGAGTATTGGGAAAGTCCCATTTCATCTGCTGCCCATCATTTTTCAGAGGTGCCACACTTCTCTTTCTTTTTTTTTTTTTTTTTTTTTTTTGAGACGGAGTCTTGCTCTGTAGCCCGGGCTGGACTGCAGTGGCCGGATCTCAGCTCACTGCAAGCTCCGCCTCCCGGGTTTACGCCATTCTCCTGCCTCAGCCTCCCGAGTAGCTGGGACTACAGGCGCCCGCCACCTCGCCCGGCTAGTTTTTTGTATTTTTAGTAGAGACGGGGTTTCACCGTGCTAGCCAGGATGGTCTCGATCTCCTGACCTCGTGATCCGCCCGTCTCGGCCTCCCAAAGTGCTGGGATCACAGGCTTGAGCCACCGCGCCCGGCCACTTCTCTTTCTTTTAGTACCTGTAAATACCTTCATGGAAACTTTTCTAATGTGAGTTAAATTAGTACTTTTATCATTCATCTCAAAATTGAATTCCATTCACATCATAGAAGTACTGTGGTGCTGTTACCTGCCGATGAGCAGGTAAGTGGGGAAGGAGAAGCCCAAAGGCCTTTATAGCACATCTACAGGAGAAGATGGAAAATTGCTTATATTAGTTTGCCAGGTCTCCAAAAACAAAGTACCACAGAGCGGGTGACTTAAACTACAGAAATACAATTTCTGATTATTCTGAAGGCTACCAGTCCAAGGCCAGGTGGAGGCAAGATTAATTTCTTCTGAGGCCTCGCTCCTTGGCTTGTAGATGGCTGTCTTCTCACTGTACTTTCAAGTGACCTTCCCTCTGAGCCATTTGTGCTGTATCTTTCTCTTTGTATAAGGATGCCAGTCAAATGGGATTAGGACCTACTCTAATTACCTTATTTTAATTTAATTAGTTCTTAAGGGTCCTATCTTCAAATATAGTCATATTCTAAGATATGGGGGTTAGGCCTTCAACATAAAAATTCACAGGGCACAGTCCAGCACATAATATTGCCCATTGTAGAAATGCATTAAGAAACTCCAGGGAAAGAAACCAGCAGCAAATTTTTTTCAACAGTTTTATATCTGACTGTGGGGTAAAGCACATTTGACTTTTTCCTTCCAGAAGTATTATTTGAAAGTAGAGTGTGGCAGCTTTATGGAATTATCATACACTTTGGTTGCAAATAATTTATACTTACAGTGCACCATTACATGGCCTACAGCAAATAATATTTGTATGATTCAACTCAGAAATCTTTGTTCTTTACATAAAAAGGCTTGTATTTTTTCAGTGTGTAGAATTTATTGTGCGCAGTTTTCACTAGATGTAAAAAATTAAAAAAAGAAAAGAAAAGACAATTCCCGATCTAGAATGTGGAAGTCATTTTTTTACTAGAGTCTTAGTCCTACTAGAGAACTGAAAGATGTTAACTTTCCTCATAATAACAATAAAGAACATATGGTTTATAATGATATTAAAGAATCTTGTTTAAGCTTGAGACATATCATG